CCCGCCCGCCCCCCTGCGTGCCTGGCTCGCGGAGCGCCGGCCACGGCGCCGCGGGGGAGGCCCGGATGTTGGTCCGCGGCGCCATAAAAGGGCAACGCCTCCGCGGCCGCCCCCCGCCCCCACCCCACCCCTCCCCTCCCCCTCCCCCTGCCTCCTCCCTCAGGCGGCGCCCCGGGGGCGGGGAAGCTCGGCGGCGGCGCGGGCCGCGGGGGCTCCTGTGCTGGCTGGCTGAGTGGCCTGCGTGCGCGGAGCGGAGCGGAACGGAACGGGCGGCCTCGGAGGCGGGCCGGGCGGAGGGCGGCGGCGGCCCCTCAGTCTCCATTCGCAGCCCCGCGACGGGACGCGCTCCGCGAGCCAGGCACGCAGGGGGGCGGGCGGGCCGGCGAGGCCGGGCCGGGTCGGGCCGGGGTCCCCCCGCTGCGGCTCCCCTCCTGGGCGGCGAGGGGCACATGGGGCGGCGGCCCTTCTCCGCGGGAGGCGGCGGCGCCAGGCAGAGCCCCCGGGGCCGCTGTGTGCGGCGAGGCGGGGGTCTCGCTGCGGCGGCGGCGGCGGGTTGCGGGTGGGTCTGGGCCCGGCAGGGTCCTAGTCCCTTGTGAGGCGGCGGGCGGCTCCCAGGAGCGCAGCCGCTCGTCGCTCGCCGCGCTTTCGCTCCCGGCAGGTCCTCTCCTCCTCCCCGCTTTTTGTTGCGTTTCCCGGGCGGGTGGCTCTTGGACCCGCTTGCCGTGGTCGCCTCGGTCCCCGCGGTGCTCGACCCAGCACGCCCCGTCCCCCGCCCCGAGGTGGGCGCAGACATATGTTGCTCGCTCGCTCGCTCCTCGCCTCTACGACGGGAGCAAAGCTTTCCTTGTTCTCTTCAGACGGGGATCAAGTTTGCAAAAACCTTAGCTGCTGCATAGGATTGCTCTGGGCCTCTTTAAAGGATCGCCCTGACTCTGCAAGGCTTTGCATAGCGGGTGGTATGCAGAGGGAGTGTAAGTTGCCCCTTCTGAAAGTGGGTATCTTAAAAAAAATGAATGTGCCTTGAGCGGGGCTAACTTGGAAACAGCTTATTGCGCATAAGCAAAAATAAATAGAAATAGCTTTTCAGGAGGAAAGGGTGAACTTTAAAGAACAAGGGATCAGGAGGACTGGCATCTGTGTGTGAGTGCTGTGGCTTGGTGGGTTAATGCAGATAATATAGGGTATATATGCAAGGTTACCCAGACATGGGAATATTGCGCTGTTGGTGGCTAGGTAAAAACCGATGGAATGGATGGTGTATGCCTGCACAAGGGAGAAGGCGAGCATTAAACAGATGAGGAATTAGTTGGTGTGTTGTAAGTAAAGGTAACATGCTAGGTAGGGGAAAGCTGTGGTAACATCTTCTTTAAATATGCTAGGCAGGGCTGGGACTAAATAAGGTTTCAGTTTGCATTCCCTTCAAACTTGCACAGTCCTTGTTGTTAAGCAGCTGGAAGTTTGCAGCCCAACTCTGCCCCCCTCATCCACCCACCCGTTCGCAGTTGCCTTACTAAATTTTCTGTAAATTGTGCCACATTGGGAACTTGCAGCCTGGCTGCAGTTGATTTGGGGAGCTGGTTTGCTTCCTCCCTTGGACGTTTGTGTCTTCCTGCTTTTTTTTTCCTTCTCCCTGATCACTGTGATTTTCTTCACTCAAGTGAGAATCCGGGGAGAGGCTTATGAGCTAACTGCGTGCTGGAGGCTTCTGCTTAGCTAATGAATGCCATTTCCTTTGCTTCTCGCTTGCAGGAAGGAGGAACCATGGCTCTGGACGGTATACGGATGTCAGATGGCTGCTATGCAGATGGAACGTGGGAGTTAAATGTCCATGTCACAGACCTGAACAGAGATGTAACTCTGAGAGTCACAGGGGAGGTCCACATTGGTGGTGTCATGCTGAAATTGGTGGAAAAACTTGGTAAGTTGTAATAACTCGGGGAAAGGTGTGGCCATGCGTCTTGCTTTGGTACTTCTCTGGATACTGGAAGGCAGAAAAAAGGTGGGCATTGATGTGGAGTGGCATATTTGCATCACACATGGGACTGTATTCAGAAATGCAATGCTATTTTTAAATAACTTGTTTTGTTAGAGGGACTTGCTGAAGAACAGAGATCAGCATCACGCTGTCTGCAGACCAGACTGGGTCTGCTGAATCGCTTTAGCTCTTTCACCAGCTTGCTGTGACTGTCCCCACATCTTTCCCTGCCTCATAGGGTGGCAGCTGTGTTTCTTTACAGCGCTGTTTGAATGTAGAGCGTCATCAGTTTTCATGAGGGACACAGTGCTCATCTCAAGGAGTGATATGGCAAGTCAGGAAATGGTTGATTGATCCCAGATAGAGAGGATCTGCCTTTCTCTTCTGCATGTCTGTCTTGATTCATTACCATGAGAGGATTTCCCATTTGTGTAATACATGTACAAGTGCATTTGAAATATTGTAGTGTGTTTCACCATACAAGTGTTTGAATCTAAAGGCTGCTTTTATCCAGTCAGAAGAGCAGTTTTTGAGCCTTTCCTGGAGGGTTCGACCCGAGGCTGCAAATAGGAGTAGCCTGTTGAAGCATTTGCACAGAAAATGTGCAGGACTTGTCGGACGCATAATGTGCTCTGTTTTCCTAAATTTTTATTTTTTTATTTATTTAAAAATAAAATGCAGGGAGTTTCTTACTGGCAAGGATCTGAACATGCAGACTGGAGTAGGGCTATCCAGTGAAAGCTTTTGCCACTTCTGGTGATAGCGTAAGCAGCCCTTATGCATTCCATGTCCTGAAAATACTGAATAATACACTTGCATATATGTGCTTTGCACAGATGTCTGTCTGCCTCCTCTCTGACACACTTTGCACTGCCTGAACCCTGATGCTCCTTGAGTTGCCATGCGAAAGGCGTGCACTGTTACAACAGAAAAGGGGTCCTGTGCTAGGCGAGCTGGGAAAGGGCTCTCACAGCTCTGCTTGTCATTTGAACACCATTTTGATTCCCCTGCGGTTACAACTCAAGGAGTCTTAGTTGGCTTATTCCTCTGTGTCCTTTCGAGGTTTTAAGAGTCTGTAGTGAAGTTGGCCTGAAGTTAGCAAATCTGGTACCAGAAGAGTTGTGTCAGTAAGTGAAGTAATTTAGGCTTGCCTTTTTCCCCAGACCGTGAAATATTAGAGGAGGTTTCCCAAAGATTTAAGTCTCTGCAAAATTCTAGCATTATGCTCCTTTGTGGTTGGTTGTTCATTGTCGTTTGGTTCATAAAATGTTAAGTATTAAGTGTTTAGACTAAGTGCCTGATAAGAAAGATCTGTTCAAAATATTGGGATAATTCTGCAAGGACATTTTGTCGATATGTCGCTACAGTTAATTGAAATGTCCATTTCTTCTTCTCTCGACATCTGGCTTTCTGAAATGGTTGTTCAGTGATGGCGCCAAACATAAGCAGCTCTGTGTGTTGCAGGTTGCACTGTCTCAGGTTATTTTGTACTCTCAGTTATTTAAACCTACAGTAAGTTACGGTTTCTTCCAGTTCACTGGTGTATCAGACCTTTTGCCCTTGCCTTCCTGTGAATTGTAGTTATTTATTGGTGAGCAGACTGTTAGCATTTTGCCTTGACCGCTTAGGCTGTGATCTGTTTTTATCCAGTGTAAACCGTAGAAGGTGTTCCTAGGCCATCGCAGAACAGCGCTAGATGTACTGCAGCTGTATATGGAGTACCCTAGCCCACACCTGCCACCTGATAGTTGGACATGACTGTGACCACACACCCAGAGGAGCAGCGCTGCCCAGGGCAGTTGCACCCGTGTGAGGAGCACACTGTACATCACTTCTGAATTTCCTGTATTGTTTAAAAATTTTGAGGTTTATACAGTTGATAATCTGAAGTGTTCCTTCCTAAACAGCATATTTATGATCAATACACTATGAACTCAAAAAAATTATTCCTATCGACTCCCTAGCACACTTCTGATACTGTGTAAATACTTGATGTATTGGCTAGCTGTGCATCTAGGTCATATTTGGAATAGTTTAAAAAAAGCCATCCTGTACTGAGCAACGACTTCATACTGCTATAATAAGGAAGGAAAAGAAGTTATAAATACTTGCTTTAAAAGGAAGCTCGTGTTTGTATGAAAGACTTAGGCTTTGCAACTGTAGAACATGCATTTCAATAATAGTTTCATCTGTAGTTGCAAAAGCACTGGCTTGAGGTGATTGCAGGTCTCTGCACTTTAACTTGTTCAGCTTTTGCATGCGTAAAGGGAAGAAATGCCTCTCTTTTCCACAATGAATAAGGCCACAAGAAGCATCGCTTTGAGTGGTATTGATGTGAACTGTCTTCGGGGATGCTTTGCTCCATCATAAGATGAAATCTGATAGACAGTTTCCACAGTACAGAGTTACTTAAAGTTCAGACAGCTGTTCTGATGTAAACCTCTCCTCTATCTGGGCTCGGATCTGCTTTGCAGTGGGCTTGATGAAGCTTCAGAAACAGGTCACGCAAAAGTATATCATCTCTGGGAAGTAGACGTGCATTTGATCCTCCGCTTCTCTTTCTTGAAGGTTCTGGCGCATCCCATGTTCAGTAGCCATTGTGCTGTATTGAAGAATCTAAGTAATGGAAGTTGCTCCACAGCTTCTTAAATCATGGTCTTTCCATCAAGTGATAAGAGCTGGAATTAGCTGTAGAAGTGCCCCTGCAAAAATACCACACGCGCGCGCGCGCGCGCGCACACACACACACACACACACACACCCCTCTCTGGGGCAAACATTGGTGCATGCAAATACTTTTGTCATTTGCTGCTCTGTGTTTTGCTTGACCCCATATCAGCTCCAGCGATGGGTTACAAGGACCAGGAGCAAGGTGTGGTTTCTTGAAAACACAACCATCTTGGACTGAGCCACTTGGCCTGACCTCCTCTAATTTGCTGCTGTGAAAGACCTGGCCTCTCCCTCCTCTTCTGATGCAGGAGGAGGTAGAAAGAGGGATTGAGAGGTACTTGAAAACAGGCTTGTACTGTCCTACAGAAGTGACCAGGAATGCATGCCGACCTCATCTGTACCTGCACTAGCTGCCTGTTACTGCCCGGGCCCAATTCAGAATGCTTACGCTCGTGGATAAAGCCTTAAAGGGCTTGAGACCAGGGTAGGATAGCTAGAGGAATGCCTGTCTCCATACATCCCTCCCAAACCATCCGCAGAGCCCTCCTTCGTGAACCCCCACAAGTGAAGTGAGGGGGGAGTTAGCTAGAAACAGGGCCTTCTCTGTTACTGCATCTCATCCTGGGAATTCTCTGAAAGAAATGTGACTGGCACTCTCATTGCTTTGTTTTCATCACCAAGTAAAGACCTTTTTATTTAGTATTTGTTTTTAGAATCATGCTTTATTTGGCTTTCACTGCGGGTTATATTGTTGCTTCTATTATTTTTATCCCCCTATTTTTCCCACTTTATAGCAGTTGGCTTTTATGTGGTTTATAGCTGGTATTTATTTATTATATATTTTTATTTATTATATATTTGCTATGTTGTTGCTCCTTGTGAGCTGCCAAGAGATACAAATGCAATAAATAAATATTTTATTAATTTTGGAAGCATTGGAAGTGTGATCTATGATCTGGCACCTGAATTCCAGGCCTGAGGTGTACAGACGTCTGTGTGTATTAGATGGAATTGGAAAAAATCTGTCCAGGGCTCTCAAGTTGTTGGTGTACTGTTACAATTTCTTACTTTTTGAATAAGTGTTGGTTCATGTTGGGTAGTAGGTGCTTGATGTGAAGTTCCCTTTACAAACCAGACCAAAATAGTGAAATTTCTCAAATACTTTGAGTTTAGGAAATGTTATAAAATGCATCCAGCCCATTTAAAAGTTGATGGTGCCATCCAAGCAAACATGTCCTGAAACTTACCAGAATCACCCATCTGCTTTGGAGAGTGAGATCCTCGTCAAAATCTGCAACTGAGCATTTCTCTTACAAGAATGTGGATTGCAGAATTTCACATCCCACTGAGAAGGGGTGTTCAGAATCATTCACAGCAAGACAATGCTCAGTTTTGCATCTGGGACCAATTTGGATAAAAGATAGCCCATAGAAATCTTGGAAAGGAGACAGTTGGGGATGTTTGCTGCTTTTTATTTTATGACGAGGTTGGTGTCAAAGGTGACCTTTTTGTAAGTGACTGTCTGGTTGCTTGTTTGGGACTACTTGATTCTTTAAACTTCACTGATTGTTAAGGTATCTTTGGTTTCCTTTTAGTTTGCCTTCAGAGAAAATGTCTGTCGCTTAAGTTCAGCAACTGTTAGCTACTAAAATTAGTCTGCTTTAATAGCAGTTGCGCTAGTTGACATGAGTGTGTACTATGCATATTTAAATATGGCAGAAAAGGGAGGTGAGGCACTTAACTTCTTTAGCTGTTGGGTTCAGAAATTTAGGATGTTTTCAGATTATTCTGTTGATTGGCTTTCCTGTGGAACTGTTCTGTTTCTTGGAATCTATATTAAAGAATAAATGTTCTGTTTGAAGCCTTGGGTTGTTCTCTTTGCTGTGCTTAATGTTTCTGTCATATGGCATTTAGATAGAAGTTACTATCAGAATTAAGCTTCCTATGAGTGCTGGACAGTGGGATCAGCAGTGTGTTTGTGCTTCCTCTTCTTTGGGTGGCCTATTTTAAAATATAGTTGGCTCCTGGCATATAGAGCTTAGAAAGCAACATTCAAGAATTCATCCATTTCCTTTGGGTTGGTCGACTTCATCATATGTCCATGTTGGTTAGCTACGGAAGTGAGGAACTGGCTTCTTCTGCTTGTGCTTCTGTGTGTGGAGCTTTCCTCCTCAGTTCAGCAGTCTGCAGAGCAGAGGGATCCTGGCTTGGAAAGCTAGAGGAATGCTAAACTGATGAGCAATCCTATCCTTGCTCAGCAATCCTGTTAATTA